CTTATCATTGGGAAGTACAGACTGCCCACTGTCTTTATCCCATCTTCAGAGAGTTTTGGCACAAGTAGATTTGGTGGAGTGATGAGGGAAGGTCAACTTCTCTGCTTCTTTTGAGATATTATATCCATCTGGTAGAATGGGAAAAACCTAGTATTTATAGTTTCACCTGAAGTCTATAGCCAGAATTCTAAAACAAGAGAGAACAATGTTCATAACCATAACGATAAAGCTTCAGACTACCTCTTAAATTAAATACAGATCCAGGTCATCAGGAAAGCATTTATTAAAATGCTTTCAAACCCACCAACATGATTCAGTTGAATTGAATGTCCTTATTACTTGGTGCTTGATAAACTACGTCCTCTTAGTAGGTGACAAAAAAATACTAATAAGAAGGAGTTGCACCAATTGTCAGGCCCAGTAAAGCTCAGACTACTTTATTTAGGAAAGGAAACTTCTTGGTCAGGACTGTTTGTACACTGAAATGTGCCTGTCAAATAATTGAAACTCATGTATTCACATTGGTCTTCTTAGTTTCTGAAGACCCAGATAAGTAGGATTTGGTTTTAGCACATCTTTTACAGGACACCTATGCCTATCTTAACATAAGTGTTAAGAAAATATTATTTCTTGCTGTAAATTCTGCAAGTATGTATATTCCAGATGTAGCTAATTAATGCTGTCCCTCAAGCAGCAAATCAAATAATTTGTAGTTGCTTTTCTCTATTCCCATCTGAATGTGCTACTTAGTCTTGAAATTCACCTACTAATAAAGTCACTGAAAAAACTGAGACTTAATATTGGCCAAAATATTTCATTATTAAGAAGAAAGTAAAAAATGCTGTAAATAAAAATCTTTCATATACCCAGACTGCACTGATGAATACTTAAAAACAAATAAGTTTATTTTATTACAAAATGATAAGCAATATTCCCATTTAAAAAAAACAGTCATCTGACATCTGTTCCTTATTTCCTAAAGAAAAAGATTAGTAAATAGAAATTTAAAGATCTCCAAGTGATGTCTTCACAAGGAGTCTTGAGTTTGTTTTGTTATGTTTTTCATTAAGTTGAAACAGAACACACAAAAAACTACAACTCCTGAGAAAACCCATATCTCGCACATCTCAGAAGCCTCATATCTCTTGAACTCTCAGCACATTAAAGAAAAAAAAAGATATAGGGTAAATTAAAAGGTATATTTTATAATATTAAGCCTAGATGCACTAATTTAAAAAAGAAAAAATACAAATAAACAAGAATCTCTGATATCTGGCACATAATAGGTGCTGAAAACATGGTTATTACATTATTGGATGAAAACACTGGCTTGTCAAAGATCCTAAGAAGTCAAAATGCATTTTGGGCACAATCATCCTTCCCATTCCGTAAGACTTATCAGATTCTTAAGTCCTGTACACTGGACCCACAGCAAGGAGATAACAATGAAATCCTTTTTTCAAGCTCTTGCCCAAACAGAACTCAGTTATCAAAGCTCTCTTTTCCTGTTTTGCAACCCCAAATAAATACCATAACAAGAAAAAACACTCATTATAAAAAAGAAACAAAAGATAAGTCACTTGCATCCCCACATTTGTTCTCATAGATATTGAAAGAAAATTATTTTCATAGATTCAAACCAATTCATAGTGTGAATTATCTTTTCCATGAGAATTTCTTTATTTTGGCATATTGATTTATAAGATTTATATTTTATATAATGTCTATATACAATATAATGTGTATACATTAGGCAGATATGTAATTTATCACCCTATATAATGTGTATATATATAATGCCTATACATAATGTATCCAGTGTTTTATGCATGTTTATACATATGTATGTATAAATATGTGTATGTACATGTATATATGTATACGTGTGTGTGTGTGTGTGTGTGTGTTCTGCACTGTGCAGCAAAGAAGGGAATTATAGTCAGTATTAGGTAATTTTAGACAGGAGAAATTGTTCACACTAACTCATGAAACTCACTGCCTGGGATGATCAAAGAATCTGTGTAAAACAATGTCTTATTGACTGCCAGGCCAGGCAAAGAACCAACTCATCTGAGGTCAACTCTGCCATCATCTCTTAGGTCATACTGTTCCTTTCAGCCCATATGATCTCATGAATATGAAAAGTTAGATTTCTAAAGATTGAGGCTAGATATATGGATTAAGATATTATACCCTGTTCAATTACATTGAAATTCTACAGATGTGCACTGAGAAGTATGTTGTTTCTACTTTTAGCCAATGAAGGACTAAATTTAAACAATGCCTGAGCAGGCAATTGCTGCATTGTGTGATTCTTCAGTCACTTGTCACAATGCTGACATTTTATCATTAGAGATCCATTTCTTTGGAGGAGCTCTGGATAGGCTACAGACTCTTCTGCAATAAAGCTCTGATTATAACCAGAAAAAATGTTTTCTGAATTATTATGTGATACAACTTCTAGTTGAAGTTTTGACTGGAAAAAAAGAAACTATATTTGAATTAGAGTATAGAGCAAGGTCTTGTTCATTGATCATGGATAGAATATTTTAATAGAAATAGAACAAAGTTGCTTGAAATAATACCCCATCCTATTCTGATATTTTTCATACAAAAGTAATAGGGAGATTTATTCTCCAAAGGATTTATCTCTGAGTGGCAGTTACCTTTTAAAATTATTGTTATTATTTTTTTGTAAATCCATTTTGGACTTTGATACTTGAACTATTTTCCCCATTAAATCCCTCTTTATACCATTTACATTATCATAAACAAAGCTATCGGGCTGTGTTTTAGGAACTGATATTGAGCAATGAATATGACAGCCATCATCTCTGAGCAGATTAGAGCTTACAGTCTAAAGTAAATACACACAATTAATGAGAAATTACAATGTGGCTTGGCACTTTTTAAAGCAAATACAAAGTATAACACAGAACATGAGAATGATAACTATATGAAATAATGCATGTGTTTAATACCTTAATCTGATTCATTCTCCACCACATTTATATATGAAAATATACAACATAAATGTGTACAATTTTTACTTGCAAAAATCATTAAACCATTCCCCTCAAATTCAAGGAGATCATAAAAGCATTTCCCTAAAATGAGAGCACCTCAGAATAGGCGTCTGGAAGAGATGTCCTCATTTCTGAGGCAAGAGTCAGAGGACAAATATAAATTAATAATTAAAGAAAATTGGGTATGATATTGTTCTAGGAAAAGGAAACAAAAATTTAAAGGACAAGAATAGAGGGGTACATAATATGTTAAGAAATGAAAAATAAAAATAAAAATAAAAAATCTATATATCTAAAGCAAGAAATAGAGAAAATATTGGCATGTAACATAGCATGAAGAAATTTTTAAGCCATAATAAGGAATAAAAATTTATTCTATGGTAGAAAAGAATTATTAGAGTATTTTAACCAGACAACCATAAGTTCATTTTCAAGGGAACACACTGTAACTATTTTACAGGTGGGTTGTTGGAGGTTAAGATACCAGCCAAAAGGCAGGTTCCAGGTTTGAAGAAAGGTGTAGTAATGATCTCAACTAGGTTAATGGGAAAATGATAAAATCAAGAAATATTTAGAAGGTATAAGAAAGATGTAGTATGGAGTGTGGTAGTACATGAAGTGTAATTGAAATTAAGAGTATGAGGAAAATGAGAAGAAAGGGAAGTCTAAGATAACATGTTGAAGAAGTCAAGATTTACTGTACAGAAGAAAAAAAAAGGAAAAACTCTCTCCCCTCCTGCACCACCAAACACCAGTTTCCTTTCCCTTAGTCCAAGATCCCTTAAATTTTATTCTTCCTCAAGCAACACTGAATTACAGTTTAGCTTCACTGAATATCTTTTATGCTCAAGAATCACCATTTATAGGATTTATATAATATCTAGTGTTCTGTGTATAATATAAAAACAAAGATAATTTTTAAAATCCTAATGATAGTTTTTGGGAAAGAGATTTATGTTGTGCCAGATAATTAGGCTTATACCTCATATACTATATGATACATGACTTAATGAATTGCCAGTAAGTAGGCCACCCTGTTCTATACTTTTTTAAAAAAATATTTATTTTTTAGTTGTATTTGGACATAATACCTTTATTTATTTATTTTTATATAGTGCTGAGGATTGAACCCAGGGCCTTGCATGTGCTAGGTGAGCACTCTACCACTGAGCCCCAGCCCCAGCCCCTGTTCTATACTTTTAAAACTACTTTTTTAAAAAGGTGAACACATCCTTGAAGGGAGACTTTGCAATCAGTTCAACATGCTATTAATACTTGAAAAGTGTTAAATTATCCTAATCATACTTACAGTAACAATCAAAATTAATTGCAGCTATATTAGGATTACTTATTATTTGTTCTACTTCAGCAGTAACACAAATCCAATTGTACAATTTCCATAATCCAAATTGTGAAAGAAAGAACGGGGTAACAACCATTCAAAGCTGGTTGAAATAGTATTCCAAACAAATCCTTAACCAGATGGTTATCTAAAATTCTCTTTTTGAAAAGGAGCCGATTCTGAACAGATTGTATATGTGTCTCACTGGTGGAAGTGGATTATCTGTCTTGAATTGGATTGTGATGACGATGACCCTATTCTAAGTAAACCAAATCTCTTGAACTATATAATGAGATCAGGAAGAACATTCAGCTCGAGAACGACAGATTGCAGTGACTGAGATGATTTTGCTAATGTTTTTTTCCAGCCTCTTTCCTTGATGTACATTATCCTATGTTGTTATTTTTTTTCCCTACTGAGATTCCTGGTTTTTAGTTCTATGTGCTAATTTTTCTTTCTTTTTCTTTTATTATTTTTATAAGTGGAGCTGAATGAGTGGCAGGAAGCTGCGAAATCTATCTTACAAAAAGGTGGTGTGGAAGTGTAGAATCTTCATTTACTGTGCAACAGGACTGCAGAACAATCACCAAGAGTAGACATTTGACTGATTCATTCTGATTTCTTCTCTTTAGGCCGTGAGGAGGCAAAAGTTGCTTGAACAGAGTATCCAGTCTGCCCAGGAGATTGAAAAATCCTTACACTTAATTCAGGAATCCCTTGCATTCATTGACAAGCAGTTGGCAGCTTATATTGCTGAAAAAGTGGACGCAGCTCAAATGCCTCAGGAAGCACAGGCAAGTACAACTAAATGGGAATGAGCTTCTGTTCTTTCATTTTTATTATCCAAACAGGAGGTTGCTGAGTTTCTAACTTAATGATTATTTAACTAATTATATAGAGGGTTGATTTGATTGAGTTTACTATTTGGAGGTAAGCGGTAAAAGAGGGCTAGGATAGTATTGTGAAATTTACTTTTCAAAGTATATACAAGAATTTCAAATAGAGATACTTAAAAGGCAGGGAGATCTGGCATTTATCCATGTCTTCAAACTATGCTAAACATAGAAACCATAGTAACGTAGATGGTAAAGAAAATATCTTTATGGTACTCAAAGTAGTCTCCAACATTTTGTTATCATGGAATTATAAGTCATCTTTGTTATCATGGGATTACAAGTCATATGATTTCTGGTTCTATGATAATGTATTGCAAGTAGTTGATAGCACTAAATTAGGTAAATTTGCATCTTATCACTACTGATCATGATGGTTACACTCATATGGGCACACTGAAACATTCACTCATATTTAATCCAAATTGTAAAATGTATTTAACCGGATTTTCTAGAATGAGAATTAAAATAATAATGAAATCACATCTAAGTTGAATTTAAATTTACGTCATCTCTAAATTTCCTTTGAACTTTGGAAGTATTTTTAAATTGCTAAGTATTTTAAAACAACTTCTAAATGCATGTAAAGTATCATAAGGTATTATTTATCAAGTGTCTTTAGAATTGTTTGTTATTAAGGTAATCTAGCTACTTTTTGAGTACTATATGCATATTATGAACCTATGAGCCAACCTTTGAGCTTGTAACTTAAATATACTAGCAGTGATGTCAGGGGCATTAGAAGATAATCTATAAATTCTAAAGGCCCTCTCTGTGCTGACTGCTAGAGATACCTGAAGTTTCTCACTTTACAATCAGTTTTGAGGTAAAATGCTAGATTGTAGATGATATTCCAGTGCAGTTACAGTGCATTGAATCACAGTGAAGTTGGTGCCCAAGGCATCAGTGGCCATAATAGCATGGATTAGTTATACCATATTGTCTATGTTTGACCTAGAAAGTTGCTCAGAATGTGGGGAAGAGGACAGGTAGTTTTGATAGGCTCAAAAAGTTCAGAGCAGAGGAATTCCTTATGGAATGCACACCATTTCAAAGTAGGGTAAAAAAAAGGGAAGTATGGGGAAAATCTTGATTTTAAAAACTTCTTATCTTAGATTTTCACTGGGACAGCAAGAGTAAATACAGTAGTACAAATGGAGGATGGTAGTAAACATGATTGAGCATCTTAATGTCTCCAGTCTGTAATTTTTTTTAATAAATGCAAAAGTCTAGTCAAGTTCTCTAACATTAACTCTTCCTGGTACCATCCCAATTCGACTCATACAGAAAATTTTACAGTCAGATCTTAGTGAAATGCAAGATATTGAAATAAGAAATAATTAGCTGAATTGAGAAGGAATTCACAATTATAAAATAAATACAAAGAAGTAGTTCTTTTTTACAATTTAGTGATGTGAACTTAAATGAATGTTTGATTAAAGAATGCTCAAAACTTTCTGAATGGGAGTTTGGAAAAAATTGTCAGAATAAATATTAAATTTTAAAATTATAAATTTGTACTTTAAAATAAGAAAGAATTAATCATGAGGTTTGTAGGATGAAAATATAAGTAGCAAATCCAAAATAGACTAAAGATTTCTTTTGGCTTAGAAGAAAAATGGAGAATCTGGGAAAACATTTTTCTTTAGCTGAAAAGGTTATGGTATAGGACCCTGCATGCATTCTTTTATTTGGATATGAATATGATATACTAGTTTTTAATATATTTTTATACTCTTAAAAGTTGATAATAAAAGCAGTATTAACTGTAGCAGTTGAGAAGTACTTGCAGCTCAACATAGGTAAATGAAGATAGTTCCAATCTACTTCAACAAAGAGATTTTAGAGTACTAAGAAGCTCAAATTCATTTACCATATATTTCTGATTTGCACTGGCATTGTCAAGATACTTTTTAATATTGAATCCCCCAGTGGTAATATATGATATTGGGAAATGGAAGCCATCTAAAAGCTACTGAAACATTCTTCTTCTTTAAGGTTTTATTTTAAGATGAGAATAAATGAATTATTTCCTGGAACAGTTATCAATACTTAGATTATCTTCAAGGACTACATTTCCTAAAGCTCAATTTGAAAATCCCATGTAAGAAACAAATAGAGAGTAAAAAAGTCGTTTGTTAAATAAGAACTTAATCACAGTGTGTCAAACACCAGACCTACTTAGAATGCCACCAAAATGACATTTTTCAAACTGTGTATATATGACATACATACACAATAGGTGAAAATTTAATGTTTTATGTTAACAGCAACAAATGTGTTTCTTTAATGGGGGTAAATTTTTATTCTAAATAAAAGATTAAATGGCTTTGTTTTCCCTTTTCAGAAATTGCAAGTTAATGTAATTCATCTCTGAGAATCAGGACAAAATGAATGACATTGCCATATTTAGTGCTCTTTTCAATATGTGCTTACATTTTCTGTGAATACTGATAGAACAGATTTGTGGATATCTTACTCCACCGTGTGGTATACTGATAGTTTTGCTACTAAATTTTAATCTGTTAATAGAGTTGCCTTTTCCTGCCTTTTAAGATTGATTGAGATCCTCAGCTATAAAAACATTCCAGAATCAAGGAAATGTGCACCATATGTATAAATTCCTGATTATTACTATTATCTATAAAAGTAGATGTAAACCAAAGTACTTCATTTCATTCACATTTGACTAACTATATGACCAAAAAGAGCTTCCTACTTCTTCAGCATGTGCATTGACTCAAAGTTATCTGGCATAATTAGAAAATTGAGCCCTTTGTTTCTGAATTGGATTGAAAAAATTACTTTTTTATCTAGAGATGTGAAGTCACAAAAGCAAAATTTAATCACTTAGACAATAAAACTAAATACTACAAGAATATCATCATAGCATGACCTATGAGTATTTTCTTTCGAATAATAGCCCATAACAAAACCATAATCTTAAATGGTATGATTGCAGCTCAGCTGCTCAGTGCCAGCTCACTTGCCAAGTTTTATTAAACTATAAAAACAAAATGGTAATGTATTGATTCAAATGGAATAAAACACATAGGCAAATATTTATATATCTAGAAATATATCTTCTATAGTAGAAACCAGAAACTGAAGAACTAGTTTAAAACCATTATGATTAAAAATATAAAGCCATGTGTTTCTTTGAAACAATTATAAAAATAAAATCACAAAATTATGTAACTGCAAATAAACACATGTCATGATTATATCATGTATGTCTTAGTTTTCCAGCACTATATACTGAGAACAGGTTAAGTTTTGGCACCTAAGATGCCAAAAATCAACTATCCAGGCTGTACCAGTCAAGTCAGAATCTAGGTATACCCAGTCATTCCTAATTTTAGAAACTCTCCCTCACCCATGGCTTTGTCAAGATGTCAATGAAAGGAAGTGACAGTGATTATCAAATTACTATGATTTTCTCTACTATTTCAATTGTCTTCTCCCTCTTATAAAAATGGGGGAAGGTAGAAAATGTAGAGAAGGTAGAAAAATGGCGAGATCTACTTCACAAAATAATTTAGACCAATAGGATTTTCAGTAAGGATATTTTAGACTGAACTCAGTATGTTCTTCTTATTTCCATTTTTTCTAATATCACATGTGTTAATTGGCTTGGATGTGACTCTAAATAATTTTAGGGGTCACTGATAAGTAGGTTTAAATAGCTACTCACATGTCTATAATTCTTGAAATTACAAAAAATACTTCAACACACTTTTTCTCCTTTTGAAGTATTTTCAGTTTTTGAATGTAAGAATGATATGTAATAACAACCCAACATAGGCAACTGTTAAATTTATCCATGTCATTATGTGTTGCTGATTCAAATTTTGCAAAGGGGAATATGACCATATTATTTAGATTATTACAAGAAGCAGGGAGTTTCCCAGCAGCAATTGTAATAGCATAACTATTTTATTTCATGTATTTCACATATTTTAGTTCCCATATTTTGTAATCTCCCACAGAGTAGGTTTATGTTCATGAATCAAGAAATGAAAATAGACTAATTTAGAAAACAAATTATTATCTACGGAGAAGACCTCAAAATAAATTAGAAAATTGATGCTAATATTTCATTGGCCATGCTGGGACTTTTGACATCCCAGGGTATCTACCACAGACTCAGTTTCTTCCTTCCATCTCTTTTGCTTCCCATATAGTACCAGTAAATAGAAAAGAAACTTTTTAAACCAAAGTTGTTAATTTAAGCTGATTACATTAGCTTTTACATTAGAAAAATTTATAATTGAGGTATTCTGTTTATAGTAGCTAAATCTTTTACTCACATTGAATATACTTGATCATAGTTACATGAAAACATTGCAAAATATCAAAATCAGCAGCTTAAAAATAAAGACATAAATGTGTCTTTTGGTCTATAAGATTGAGTTTATGTGATAATTAACCAAAGAAGAAGAAAAGGAGTGACTAATATAGAGGTTTGGCCAAAGTATTTCTCACCTACCCATGACAGAAATAGTTTTCTTATTCTTAAAAGTAGATACAATGGTAAATTCTGTGCATTTAATATCAAATCTGTCATAACCCTGCCTACTACCTCTATGTATTAGTTTATAGAAGTGATTATTTGCCAACTTAGAATGACTGTTTTTTTATTTTGACATGTTTAATTGTTGAAAATAATCATAACAAAGAATTGGAGAAGAGTTACAAGATTAGATACATGCCACACATCATGGACTAAGAAAAACTGTATAGTAAAGAAATGTGAATTTTATATGATAAACTCAGAAGTGTACACACTAAATCTACAATTAAATTCTAGTATCTTATTGTAAAAAATACCTCCACAAATTCTAAATATAAAGATGAAACTAGAAGCTTCATACTACAGTCACAATGAAGATTCTCACAGT